GTAGTGTGTGTGAGTGTATGTGTGTGTGTGTAGTGTGTGTGCGAGTGTGAGTGTGTGTGTGTGTGTGTGTAGTGTGTGTGTGTGTGTGTGTGTGCGTGTGTGTGTTTGCTAAATCGTCCAAAAATGATAATTTAATTTAGTCAACTAACAACAAAATAAACCAACAGTTGAACAGATATGATGCTATGACAGTGCAAGTTTTAGAATTTGTTTTTCTTGCGATTTCTATTTTGAGACCTTACGCGTTTTTCCCCACATTGACTCCATTCCTTATACTTTAAAATCGAGTCAAGTTCAAAAGTGTCCTATAAAGCAGGGAGCTTTAAAACTATTCACTGATTTGCTCCGGATTTTAGAGATACAGTGGTTTGGTGCGTCACCGTCATCGGTAGGTGTCGTGAGTTCGATTCCTTTGTGGGAATGCAGTTACAATAATTGTGAAAACAGGTTTTTAAAGTACATAACGATGGTGGGAGGAATCCCGAAACGAGCGAAAACTATGAACCAGAGTAGGGTTAGGGTTAGGGTTAGGGTTAGGGTTAGGGTTAGGGTTAGGGTTAGGGTTAGAGTTTTGGGTAGGGTTAGGGTTAGGGTTAGGGTTAGAGTTTTGGGGTAGGGGTAGGGGTATGGATAGGGGTAGTGGCTGGGGTAGTGGTAGGGGTAGGGGTAGGGGTAAGGTGACGGTTAGGGTTAGGGTTTGGGTTTGGGTTTGGGTTTGGGTTTGGGGTAAGGGTAGGGGTAGGGCTAGGGCTAAGGTTAGGGTTTGGGGTAGGGGTAGGGGTAGGTGTAGGAGTAGGTGTAGGGCTAAGGTTAGGGTTTGGGGTAGGAGTAGGGTTAGATGTAAGGTTAGCTTGGCTAGGTCTCTTATTTATTGTGTTTTAGTGGGATGGTCGCTCGATACGGAAGTCCTTCCAAGATGGTCACCATTATTTTACTCAACAAACTCTGATACACAATGTTTTAATTCTTAGACCCCTTTGTAGTGTCGTACCACAACAAAATTGTTGGCTAGCTGTCTTTGTCTGTGGGTTGTGGAGAATGAACATTAGAAAATCACGAGTGAATATATTCGTTCTTGTTGTGTTGTATCGGTGCGGTAGGTTTCTCTTATTTGCTTTACGAACTGGCGTGAAAAATAACCATCTTGTGAGTGGCAGGCGAGTGCTCGGATGTGGTTTGCTCCTTCTTTCCTAACGAACATCTGCCATCCTTATCTCTCCTCCTTCTTTTTTCATATTTTGTTTATCTCTCTCGTAACACCTCTTATCTTCGGCACTTATATGACCTTATGCAGATGCAAACGCCGGACTGTATAGCTTTTGTCAAACTTTATTTTCGTTGTCCACACCCCACTAACAAAACGGTTGGCTGTTTAGTCAAAGTGAGGTACTGAGCTAAGGGTCCCGTTCTTCAACTTCAAATACATCACGTGGGTCACCGTCACTTTTTCACAACCATCTCATCTCTGATTGCTTCAGGCTTTCCGTGAGCCCAGTTAGTATCATACTGGACTACGGAGCGGATGGCCATGGTTCAAATCCCAGACTGAGTGTTTTTGGGGAACTCGTCGATCGTGTCATTTTGTGGATTTCCAAGTTGCCAACCCATTCATTTGGTCCTATCGGAGACAGACGTTAAATTCTGAGGTCCCGTCTCTTAAATAACGTAATGGTTTTTGATCCGGTCGTTAATCTAATAGATTCTCTTTCATTCTCATTGCTGAGGCCTACTTGACTATATTATATTGAAAGGGGGCGTAATAGTGCACATCATAATTCAAAAAATTATTCTAGTCATCAGATACATTGTACCTAGGTGAGAGGGTGACTCTGATGTTTCCGCTATTCTTAATCTTTTGCGTATGTCACACAACTGCCCACATGTCATCTTAACCATTACATTCTTCAAATTCTTCTATTTCGCTGGAGAAATGTTCACCTATGCGTATGAACTGGTCATCGTTAGACATTGATGGGCGAGCTCTTCTTCTTCTTCTTCTTCTTCTTCTTCTTCTTCTTCTT